GGAGGTTTCCGTTAAACTACTTTCATTTCAACCACAAGGGAGGATATTTCTATGCTTCAAATGATAATAAAATCTTATAAAACTAAAGAATACTTTGTAAAGAACTAATCAAATCAACTAATTATTAATCAAATAATCAGAAAATCAGAAATAGTATCTCCAAAAATAAAACTATTGCACATATCTGATAAATATATAGATATATAGATAACAGAAAAGCAATCAGTATAACATGTATAAATCTTATAAAGAACAAATAGAGAAGAACCTTCGAGATTTAAATAATTGATAGAACAAGTAAAATAATATTTTGCATTTGGGATTTACCAGATAGTTAGCTGTTACGTAATTTGTATTGTTGTATTGTTTCATATTCATTGGGAAATTATTACACACACACACACACACCACACAAAATAGACTATATAAGATGTTATACAGACTTTAATAGAATGTCAAGAGGGCTCTGAAAGAGAAGAACTAGAGAAACAGATTCCTCTAAACTAGAAGATTCAGGGAATTTAATGTTCTTATATTAACTTGTATCTAAATGGGTTGTAAAGGTGAGAGTGAGACGAAGATCACTGGAGGAAGGACCTGGGGGAAGTTTGGGAAAATGGGATATAGAAGACAAATCCAAATATTTATTATGGCCATAGATCAGAAATCCCCCCACCCTCACTGTTCAATTGTGTCTGATTCTTAGAGATTGCCTGGATAAGATCCTACATGTTTTTTTTAGCGAAGTTCAGAAGTGGTTTGCCATTGCCTCCTTTCCAGGGCTGAGAGATAAGTGACTGGCCCAAGGTCATCCAGCTGGCTTTCATGCCTAAGGAGGAACTAGAACTTGCAGTCTCCTAGTTTCTAGCTTGAAAAAAATTCAGCAATCCTGGTGGGTAGATATGAATCCTGGCTGGATACAAGGAGCAATGTAAGCCATGCTATCTGGACATTTCATCAGGATGGCATGAAAAAAAAAATTCAAGATTCTCTGTAAACAGAACAGCAGAGAAGCATATACCGTAGCTGAGATACTCCTGAGACCCACCCCCCAACAAGGCCATATGCATTGACAGAAGAGATTTTGTAAAGTTCCAGCAAAACAGCTAAAGGCAATACATCCAACTTGGCTTGTTGAAACAAAACGATATTGGAAGAAAGATAGGACACTGGTGCATAACAATTGGGGGGGGGGGCAGGGGGAAACCTCACAAACTGTAGGTTAGATTGATCTGAAGATCAATGTCCCAGATTTGCTGCTTAGTTGTGTTTCAAAAGCCTAATTACTCTCCAACAAGAGTTCTAAGGAGTGGAGCCAGACTAGCTCTAAGAAGTTTAAACTCTGCTAATTTAGGGATATCAAGTTTTGTAAAACAAACAAACAAAAGGCGGTGTATGCCCAAGAGAAGCTGGGATATGACATTGACTTCAAAGGATGGAACACTATAGAGATGAAATGAAAGTCCCTTTGAATGGCAAAATCTCAGGAGAGCTGAAGAACTCTATGCTGATCAATACCATCTATAAAAGAAAAGTGAAGGATAGTGAACCTAGAAGCACACTGAGATAGTTTTGTTATGCATCTGCTTGACAGAGTTCCCATTTAATTTCCACTTATAAATTTCGTAATTATTTTGTGCAAATACTAAAATTTCATTTTTTTCTGATGGTTTATAACACATTTTTCTTTAAGGCACAAAGAGATAAAAACTTTTAGTGCCCATCTCATTTCACATTGGTAAATATATATGATTACAACATCATGTGCATGCAGAACAGCTGGTAAAACTGTTTACTAATTCAAAGGGCAGATTAACAAGGTAATGGTTAGGAACTGAGAGGCCCTGGATTATTGATTTAATATACAAATTGAAAACCAAGGGGATTAAAATGCACCCTGCCTCAACTGTCTGTGTGGAAATAGCTCTAGAAAGACATTCTCAAGGATAGCATCTAACAGGTATTAGAGACACTTTAATTTTTCCCATAGGTTCAAATCAAAAGTTGATTTGAAATCAATGAAGGCTGTGAAGAGAATATCTAAGGTAGGAAGAGAATTTTTCAGCTAAATGGTGAAGAATCAGATAGCAGTCTAATGCTGGGTGGTCCCCCACTAAAGTCAGACTATTCCTCAACTAGAACATTCGCACTTTCAATCCCGTATCGTACTTTTGGCTGGAGATATTTGGTGTATAACTTGTAGTAAGCAGGCTGATGAATCTAGAGTTGGCAGGATCCATTTTTTTCATAACAGTGGCATGGTTCTAGTTCCAGCAGAAAACATGCCGAACTCTTAATGCATGTAAATAAAATGATTGCCAATCTTTGTTCTCCTCAGTAATTCTGGGACTTTTCCAAGTCTTAACTGAAATAATCTCATTAACCTCAGCTGTAAATGCAGATGGCCAGTTAGAAAGAGCATTTTAATAAGTCACAATTGGATTACCTAATTATTTAATTGTAAAGATACTCTGGAAATAATGCTGCCATGTTTCTGCAGCTATTTGGCAGGTTGAACCAAAGTCTCTTATTATTAAAAAGGCTGTCAACAGAGGTCTCCAATTTGCTATTATTGGTTGATTGAATGCTCATAGAAAAAAATAATTGAAACTTGTAGAAACCAAAACGACAATTCTTTTTATTAACTAAGAAGTTGTCTACAATATTGTCAAGGTCAGTTGTGAATAATTTTATCATACAGAACAACATCTTATTTTCATTATTCTTGTTCTTTTTAAGCAAATTATAACTTTCAATTGCTGTATTCCAGTCATAGGAATTCACCCAATAAACCTCTGTTAAATCTATTAAGTCCAGTTTTCCGTTCAAGATCATTCTTCTATTATTTTTCATATTCTGAACAGTTGTGTGTTGACAATTCAAACAGCTGTTTTTCCCCTGAATGTTCACTGAGAGGTTTAATACATCCTAATATGGAAACTGCAGGGGTGGGGGTGCGGGAATATCTGAAAGTTTATCCCAGGCAATTCCATCCAGATATAAGAGTTGTGTTAATTAACTTGGTACTATGTAACTCAGGCTGAGTATTTTCTCTGTTTTAAGATTCTGTGATTGCCACAGACCAGCATTCAAAATATAATTCTCATCTCCATTCCTTGGTCTTGCCAGCTTACAGACCTTTTTATTTCCAGCCACTACAGGATACAGTTTAGTACATTTTAGCCAAATTTGCCAGTCCTTGTGAGATACAATCCATACTGGGCCAGCAATCCATTAACAACTTTTGCATTGAAAGAACTTTTATTTTCTTTAATCATTAGTACTGCATTTAATTTTCCTGCAAACTTTATAAACCAATCTTTGTATTTAAAGTACAACACACATTTTCAAACAACAGTTTTGTTCATTTTATTTGTGAACTCACTTCATTTAACCCTTTGGATTTAAATCCCATATCTCTCTCGCATCTGAAAAGGTATCTATAGGTGTGGAAATGTTTTCTCATATTTAACAAAGCAAAAATAAACCTCAATTGCAATTAAATCACAATATCATTAAAAAGGCATTTCTAATTATCCATTTTGCAAGAAAAACAGCTAATTGTTTGCAGCATAAAAGGAAATTAACCCTCTCTTGCCTATCATGTGAAAACATTTTTGTGCTATAGCTGGAACACCGTTGTTATCCTGTCAATCACAGAGAAACATAAACAGCTCATTGTTTACAGCATGACTTAAGCTTTTTGTAATCCCATTGTAATAAGTAATCATATCATGTTAATAACACTTTCGCTAATTCAAAATGAGCAAATGGTTTAACATACTATACCATAATATAATTCACACAGACACAAAGAAATGACAAAAATTTTGGCAAAGATTTTGCGTTCCCTCAAAATAAAATGAGAACAGCAAAACATCTATATCAGCATGCTTAATAACTGTTATGTAACACAGTTAATAATAATATTAAAGATGTTTGTGCTATTTTGGACAATTTTCTATCCTGTAATTTTATTTGGATTTACCCAAGAAGGTTATTTGCTACAGGGGTTATAAAATCAGTCATAGGCATTACACAACAAGCTTCCCCCTTTAAAATTTTATTGCTAATGACAATGCAGCTCTCTGAGACAGAGAAATGAGGTGGGGGAGAGAAAACAAAGCAACAAATATTCCTCATCTTGGACAAATTCAGTGGTTAAGAAAATTAACTGAAAGCAACCCTGGACGGACGGACTTTTCCTTCTCCTCTGAAGAACCTTTATTTAATTTAAAATAAACCAAAAACAAATGAGAATTAGTTGTGAAATTCAAATAAGGTAAACTCTGGTCAGTTTAAATGAGTTTTTTTATATAACAGCCAGACTTTAACTGGGCTTTCCCTCCCTCCCACCCCCATTTAGACATAACAATAAATCTTGACAAATCAGAACCATCTACTTCTTTTAACCCAGGTGCAGGTTTGTAGAAGATAAAGGAATGCTGGCCTCACACTTGTTCTCTTGTACAACAATAAACAATGTTCTGGTTTTTTGTCCAAATTGGGCCACTCTAAAACGTAAACAACAGTCTGTTTCAAGCCAGAAATCGCAGAGAATTTATAGTATATTTTAATTCCTCTTGTACACAAAAAGCATTATTGGGAATATCAGGGTGATTCACAATCAGGGTTGCCAATCAATTATGGAGAACAAGTCAGTACAGGTAGCCTTTGAGTTACAACAGTCCATTTAGTGACCAAAGTTACAACGGCAGTGAAAAATGACTTAATGACTATTTTTCACAATTACCTTTGCAGCATCCCTATGATCATGTGATCAAAATTCAGATGCTTGGCCACTGACTCATATTTATGATGGTTGCAGTGTCCAAGGGTCATGTGATCACCTTTGTGACCTTCTGACAAGCAAAGTCAATGGGGAAGCCGTTCACTTAACAATCAGGTTACTAACTTATCAACTGCTAACTTATTCACTTAACAACTGCAACAAGAAAGGTCGTAAAATAGAGCAAAACCCACTTAACAAATTTCTCACTTAGCAATGCAAATATTGGGCTCAATTGTGGTTGTAAGTCAAGGATTACCTGTAATGTATTTAATCTTGCTTTTTATTGTGCTGTTTAATCAGTTGTCAAAAAACCCCAATACTTTTCCTTGTTAGCTTTTTCAAAAGATTAACACAACTGATATTGTGCTCAGTTGGTTTCAAAATATAGGTTGATCAAATCAGTGTCATCAGCCAGACCCTCTGGACACCAACCTTGAGGCAGAAGGTCCCAGGCATGTTTCCAGATCTGGCTCAGATAGCAAAATGTGTCATGTTGAGAAAGTTGGCAGTCCTATCTATCATCTAGTTTACTTTCCAATTGTTCATAATTTGGCTTTGGTCATCAATAATGGAGTATATTGCAGGGTAAATATTTATGGGATGAACTTTTCAGCATGTGAATGTAGCTATTGCCTATTTAATTCAAGTTACAATTCTGTCATTGTCATTTAAATGTGCTACATAAATGATTTGCTCTTGGAGACTAAAATCTGTAGGGCCTCATCAGCATAAATATGTATCACTATTGTGCCTATTAGTTTTTTTAAGTGAACATTTTTTCCTTTTAAAAAAGCGGTTCTTGTGATCTGCAGTTTTTTATATCTGCAAGTAACAATTAGAGATCAGATTTTAATAGTTGCAGAAGGTTTTTGCATATCTAGTTTTTGCCATGTCTGGTTACTTTATGCATGTACTTAAATGAAGGGTGGACTTTGCACATGCCTAAAGTATGTTTATTTAAGGTTAGAGTTAGGTCATCTGTGCAAAATACCTGTATTTGTTTTTTTTCTCCTTGATAAGACATGATGGATTTTGACAGATCATCTCAGCCATGAAGCTTCATGTGGTTCTCTGCAGCAAATGGCTTCTGGAGCAATTCACTTGGCTGCTGATGGAGATGCCACATGGTTCTCCACTTTGCATGATGTTTTTACAGTCTCAATGGAGAGGCCTCTCCATTGTTTCACCAGAGATCAGTGTTGTCTGCAGACTTCTTGCAACATCTATAAATTGCATCATTAGTTGCTGGTGCTGCCCACCAACCATTCATTTGCTATTAGTTTGCTTGAGGAAGACACAGGAGCCATGGTGAGGAGCTCATGACTGGGTGGACTCAGTGAAATTTGTTAGGACTGAGCAAGGACCAAAGGAACACATACAAATACATTACATAGACGACTGTTAGAGGAGGAAGAGTGGATATACTCATGGGAGGAAGAGATGACCATAGAGTCTAGAATCCTTCCCTATACCTGCCCAAATTCCCGCAGAGTTCAGATCTCATTCTGTGATTTCCTTGTCCGCAATTCTATACCAGAATGGAGATGGCCCTTGTCTTGAGAATAAGGTTTTCATGGACATGCATATACCCTTCCATGGTCTTTGCTATCAACACAATACAACGTACTGTAGATAGTTATATCCAGGCTCTATATAGAAACAAGATGCTAGCTATTATTTCTATTACATCTCCTTACACAGACATTGAAAAATATCTATAGCTGCTGTGAAATCTTCAATATGAGTATCACCTGAAATTCCTGGCATTTATTTAACAAAACATGTTACCATTATTTCTTTTCAAACTGAAGAACAGTCAGAATTAACAGTGCTAAATCTACATAACATACTTTGCCAGAATGGAATTGAAAGGACCAAACTCTAATGTTTATTTCATTGCTATTAATTTTGTTTTAGCTGTACAGTTAGATTTCTTTATTACTGAAATAAAATTCTAGCACAATTTCATGTTTATAACTACTTCCTCTAATTGAGATAAAGCTAGAGGTGAGGTATCGATCAATAAACAGGGTAAATGCTGTGTGAAACACTGAAACTGGGTAAAAGAGATGGCTTGATGGATTAGTTAGCTCAGCAGAGGACATATACACACTGCATTTCAGGGTAAGCCTTTGCAGTTAATAGTCAGTGCAGCACACTCGCCGTGATTGTTAAGCAGAGGATCCTCTAGGGAATCTGAAGACCTATGCTCAGCATACGTACTATTCCCTCTGCAAATATTGCTGTCTTTCAGAGATCCAGACACATACAAACATGCTTATGGATTGGGTACTTCATAAATAAATAGGTGTTCAACGTTTATTCCTATTATATTAGCTCAAACAAAACTACATTGCAGAATAATCTGGATAGGTAGTTTTATATCCACATGTTTACAGTCACAGGCAGCATAACTTCGTAGTTATATACAGTTTGGCTGAAAATAAGTTAAATCTTTAAAGAGCATATAATTTAACTTAGAATAACCTTTCACTTGTTTAACTGTTGTGGTGCGCATGTGCAGTAGGTTTTTGGCAAATCAGCAAGTTTCTCACAAAGGAAAAAGTATTCTGAAATGGCCACCACATTGATAAATGTTACTGTGGTAATTTAGAAGGTTCCTGTGAAACAAAGAACCACCTATATCTAAGCTGAAGTCTATACTGTATTAGTTTACAAACAGTTTCCAGTTTACAATGGTAAAAACCAATAACGTCACAATGTATATAAATGCTAATTGAAGACAAGTATTTTAAAATGGAATAGAAAGTAGCATGTTAAAAACTATCACATACACACAGCAAAGACAAAGATTTTCAGCAGCTGTGTTTTCAGGGTGGGGACAGAAGCAGGAAAAACTGTCTAAACACCAGTCCAGTTTTGTAATTTCTATCATTGCTATGATATTGATCAATTTAAAAATAAAACTCTAAATGTGCATAATTTTTCTTTTTTTTCTAAGGCTCTGAAAATAGAACACAAAGTAAAAGTACATACTTGAGAGGCATGTAAAAATCCTATCCCACGTGCATTACATATGCATCTGACATTAAAATAATTGTTAAAAAGTGTGGATGAATTATTGAAAAAATTGCACCAAGTTTTTTTTTCCTGCAAAGTTAGTCTTGAGATAGTAATCAAATAATTTTGTTTTGATTTCAAACTAGTTACTATATTATCAGTTTTTCCTTAGTTTGAATTAACTCAACAAAACCAAAACTAATTAATCACAAGTTAGTTCCCCAAATCACAAAAGTTAAAAAGCTGCTGTTATAGATGAACAGATGAAATGTTGACACAGAAACTGGACCGTTCATCAGAGTCCCACGAAGTGCAAACCATCATTCAGACAACCAGGGAAAACTGATCCTGCTCTATAGGCTTCTCCACCCAGGCCCCAAGGCCAGCCTTCAGAAATGCCTTAAACAAACACTCTTTGGCAGTTTGATATTCCGCAGCTACCTGTTTTGTTTCATGATAGATATTTGGCTTATTGACTTTTGAATGAAGACTGGCAGGAAGCTGGATAAATCAAAGAGAGAGAAAAAAAAGAGATGTTTATGAAAGCATCATCTTGATTGCTCTAAATTCTTGTAAATTGAAACCCAATGAACTGATGTGGGTTTTTTTTTTTAAATAAAATTTTCCATTAGAATCAATCTCTAAATCGACACCAAATACCCCATGTCCTTCCTCCTATTTTGTAATTCCAATTTTACACTGCAATGCTTTCAACTCCACAAATAAATAGCAAGTGAACACAGAATCTTGCTAACAGAAAAAACCATTTGGACTTAAAACAATCCCATCCTTTTCCAATCAATTATTCATGTCTGTTTCATGGTTCATTCCCCTTTAGTGAGAGCTGTTGAAAGCAGAGCAACCCCCCCAAAGGTTATTTGAATTACACTCAGCAGGATGAAAGGGAAGTGCATTTCATCTCGCAGCCTATTCTTTTCCTAAAGGCCCATGAGGCTACAACCATGCCCAGCCATGCAGAGGCAGATGCTTTTGATCTAGGTAAATCAGTGTAGTGGAGATAGAAAATAATTTTCTCCCAAGATATTTTTATGGATATTTTTAAAATTAGGTTTCTTTGAATAAATACTTAAAGCGCTCATAATATTTTGCAGTAGTCACTTTCTTTGTTTTAAGTAAGTTTCATCTGCTACTTATTCTTGTTTTTTTTATTCTTCTCAATTCAATAGAATAACAGAAAGAAGTTAGTCAGAGGCTCTGTCCTTTCGTAAGATAACATTCCAAAGAATGAAAACAGAATTCAATTTGGGGAAAAAGAAGCTGGCCAGTAAAATCCTGACCTCAAAAGAGGGTTCAATCTGGCCAGGGGGTGTGAAGTAAAACATTCCAGAAAAAAAATATGCCAATTCAACTCTATGGGAGAGGTGGCTGGACAGCAGTTCAAAATGTTACTGAAATGTTCATTCTAAGCTCCCCTCCCCCCCGAATGACCCAGAGAGGAGATATATAGCCTGTCCTGTACATAAACATGAACGGGGGGGGGGGACGGGGGACGGGGGGACCTACACTGCAAGAACAGAAATACCCATATAGACCCAACACACATAGTTTGTTACAAATAGCCACTGCTGATAAAGAGGATGGAAACGATTTTAGAAGCCATGCTCTACATATTTTTCTTTTGTTAGTAATTTTTGTAAATATTATTACATTTTGCTAATGTAAGAAGGAGGAGGAGGAGGAGGGATGGGAAAAGGAGGAGAACACTTTCTATACTTATTAGAAATGAATATGTTAAGATTAGAGTTCCCCAAAGTGGTCAGCATCTACTCCCAAGGTTCCACAGGTATAACCAAGGAGTCAATGTTATTATTAGTAGTATTACTATTAGTATGGGTATACTATTTGTTAAAGTAGTATTTATGAAATTATTTTCATACAATAAATATTTAGGAGCCGATGAACAAGCTCAAACTTCATAAAGAGTTTGAGGACTTTTGATGTAGACTTTTTTTCCTAGATCATTTCATGCCAGCTATAAGCAAAGCTTTTCCTGTCCTATTCTATGAGATAAATAGGAGATAAGAAAATGGATTTACACCATGGATAGGAAGATCGTGGCTCTGCACATGTTATCTACATTTCTTATAACAGATGAGTGTCGTTGGGGCTTCTGGAAGTTTAGCTCAGCAATATCTGGGGGAAAAAAAGTAATTCCCTATCAAAGAAGCCAATGTGTCTCAGTTCTATATCCCAAGTTGTTCTTGGAGCAGCAGCAACAATAAATTAATATTTGATGTTCATCAGAGTTCATACCTTGAAAACATTCAGCTCTCAGAGATAAAATCAGATAATAAGTCCAATAGCCGTAAAGTAGCATTGGACTGTCTGTTTTGAAAACCTACCTTTGTATAAACACGCATCCAGCGAGTATATAGTGCATGCTTACAAAGACGGGATGCACGACCAAGCTCATCCTTGCCTGTTGTAGCATTAATGACTTCCAGCCCAGCATCCCCAACTGTCCAGTTCACGCTGAAATTAGGTGCTTTTCCTGGTTGACGGGCTTCAGCATTGCTAATACCTGAAAGAACCAAACAAAAATATCAGTAACTGGTAGAAAAAAATAGGGCAATACCAAATAGATTGTAGGTCTGTTTTAGAGATCAAATCATTTCCAATGTTTAATAAAAGCTAGTATATAAAATCAAGCAAGCGTGGGCATAAAAGCAATGTTAATTTTTTGCTCTTCTGTTAACTATGCTTTCAGTTTATATATATTAAGAGGAAAAAAGTACACTATCACTTTTCAGAATAGATTAAATGTATTTACTGTAATATATATTTATTTTTCCTGGTGTTAACATTTTTAATTACAATCTCCAGCATGTAATTATCTTTTATTTATATATTTTTCATCAATCCACAAAATATTTCTTAAATGATAATACCGTGTTTCTCACAAAATAAGGCCAGGCCTTTTTTTTTTTTAGGCCCGAAAAAATGGCTAGGACATCTTTTCAGGGGTGAATTAATTTCTCCCTCCCCCCGCACACCAGTGCCCTCTCCAACAACAGCGCCTGAGTCGCTCCCGCTTTTCCTCCATCCCCGTAACAACAGGAAAAAAAAGATTTTGAGGTACCTGGGAGCACCACGCGCTGCATTTTGGTTTAATCCCGAGCGGCTGGGTGGGCGTGAGAAGAGCCAAGCGAGCATCTCTGCTGCTGCTACCCTTGGTGCTCCAGCCTCGGGCTCTGCAAGTTTGCAAAAATCCCGGTGCAGCAGCCTGTTCCTGCATTCCAAGCGCCCAGGCCGAGCTGCAGCTGTCCCTCTCTCACCAGTGTCATCTCCAATAACAGCGCCAGCAGCAGTGGAAACTGTGGAAGTTATGGAGGCGGCTCCCCCACTTGAGAAGTGGCTGAAACGCTTCTACGGTTCCCACTGCTGCTGCTGCTGTTATTGGAGATGGCGCTTGTGAGAAAGGGACAGCTGCAGCTTGGCCTGGGCACTTGGAATGCAGGAACGGGCTGCGCACCAGGACTTTTACAAACTTTCAGAGCCCAAGGCTGGAGCACCAAGGGTAGCAGCAGCAGAGACGCTTGCTCGGCTCTTCTCACACCCACCCAGCCACTCGGGATTAAACCAAAATGCAGCGTGTGGCACTCCCAGGTACCTCAAAATGTTTAATTTTTCCTGTTATGGGGATGGGGCAAAAGTGGGAGAGACTCAGACTCTGTTGTTGGAGACGGCACTGGCGAGAGAGGCGCCAGCACCGGTGGGAACCGTGGAAGCTAGGGAGGCCTGAGAAGCGGCTGAAACACTGCCAGACATCCACGCAGATGCCACCTGCTGACCCGGGTAAGGGAGCCCGCCATGCTACACCATGGTGTTAGGAGCAGCTGATGGTGAGGCGTAGCTGCCCGCGGGGCACTCCTGATGGCAAGTTCCCTCCCACCTTCCCCCCCCAATTTTGTATGTTTTAAACTAGGCCTAAATTTGGGGGAGGGGCTTAATTTCATTTTATGCCTAGAAAACATGCTGGGTCTTCCTATTGGGGGGGGCGTATTGTTGGAGAAACACGGTAATAATTTGAATTGTATTTATTTGATTCAGTAAGGCTTAATGCTAGAAAAATGGATATAAACCTGCCCCTTCATTCTATTTTATTGGGCGGGGAGGGGGTTTCATATAAATTAAGCACTAGTTTGAAACAGCCAGATAAGCTATCAAGAATGTATAAAGACATTTCAAATGAATGTTGGAAATGCAAATCTAAAGAAGGGACTCTCTATCATTTAGGGTGGACATATGATAAAGCAAAGAAAATTGGAGTCGGATTCATATTCTGATACAGAATATTCTTAAAGTGAATATAAAGACAAAACTTTTCTTTTGGGTTTAATGGAAAAAGACTTGGATTTTTTTTTGGGAACTTTGATGTTATATAAGTTGACAGCAACAAGATTACTTTATGCACAAAAATGGATTGAAACGCTTCAATCCCCACAATGGATGAATGAGTTCAAAAACTGATGGAATTACAAGTACTTTTGTTTTGTCTTGGAAACCGCTTCTGGACTTTGTGCTTGAGGTGGGAAAAAATGAAATTTTGATTTGGGGTTTTACTGATTAGATACTTTGGTTGTTATAGAAATGGCTAGTTTATACTACTTCGTAAAAGTAAAACGTTGAGATTTGATGTTACTATCTTATTCTACTGTACTAAAGGGAGTCAGAAGTCAATGCTTTTTCTTTCTTTTTCCCTTCTTTTCTACAGTTTTCTCTTCCCTTTTCCCTCCCCTATTTTTCCTATTATTTGCTTTTGTATTTTATATTATCAACTAATAAAAAGGATTAACAAAAAAAGACTTATGGTGGAATTTTTTCTAATGTGTAATTTCATGGTTCTTTGGAGAAAGCTTTTTTTATATAATACAGCCATTTATACAGCTTGTATAATAGATTACTAGTGTACTTAAATAAGCTTCTTAGGTCTGGTGAACATTCTCCATTAAAGTATTAACATTTTATTTTTCTCCTTTAACAAAAAACAGCCCTTAGTTCTAATAACAGTCTTTTCACTCACTTTGCACTATGTTCTTCAGTTAGCCTAAAACAAACCATGAAATTATTCACAATGTGTGGCTCTGTACTCAGTTATTAAATTAATTAAAACATTCCTTTAATAAGGCATAGATGTTTGCAGTCATGTGCAAAACTAAGAGGAGGCTTCCTTATGCCCATCAATTCTGCCATCTTTATCTCTAGTTCTGTACTAAAAAAATTGTCAATAGCAACAGTCTAGTTCAGTGGTGGCTAACCTTTCTGGGCTCCTGTGCCAAAAACTGTGTGCGTGCTGGCACTCACGCTCTAGTGTGTCAGCACCCAGAAGGCAATGTGCACACCACCACGTCCCCTGCGCATGTGCACGCAATCCCCCATGTCCCCCCTGCCCCCTTACCTGCGCTGCTCCTCACAGCTGATTTTTGGCTGGTTCGAGGCTTTTTTCAGGCTCCCAGAGGCTTGAAAAAAGCCTCTGCAGGCCGAATAGGCCCATTTCATCACTTCCAGTATTACAGGAAGTGACAAAACTGGCCTATTTTCAAGCCTCTGGGAGGCCGAAAAAGGCCTCAAACCAGCTGAAAAAATCAATTGTGAGGCACACGCACGCGCAGTGAGGTAAGTTTGCCTGCAGCTCGCGTGCCAGCACAAATGGCTCTGCAAGCCACTGTGGCCCGCGTGCCATAGGTTTGCCATCATGGATCTAGTTGATCCTAAGCTCTTGGAATAGATTTATCATTTATTAAAGTTTTTGTGTTAGCAGTAGTTGCAATATTTTGAAAAAAATGACAGCATTAGGAGAGATTCAGTTTTTCTTTCATTTCATGCTTACCACTGAGTAAAGGTCTGTTAAGTACATAGAGAGATGGCAGATCTTCAATCTCTGCTATCCGCTGGTATGCTGCCCTGGACAAATGGTCTCCATGATACAAACTTCCCAAGATTATGCTTGAGAGGTATATTGGCTCTACAAAGAGACTAAGTAAAGCTCCTTGAATACCAAGTACATTCCACCTAAAGGGAAACAAACAACACTCTCTGCTTTTAGCATGTCAGCACTCAACAATGTTAATCCAGTAGACATGTGAAGCAATTTTTTGTGTATGATTGCCTCTTGAAACTCACCCTGCCATTTCATTATTTCTTCTAGCTTTCGCTAATTTGTTGCCATTACTGAGTGAAAACATTTGTCTTCATAGCAAAATAGCACTTACACAATAGACTTCCTAGAACTCTATGGAACATAATATGACTGCAAAGAGATCATAAATTCCTTTATTTCCTGACAGTTGCTATCCTTAATTAATTGCACTATCTTGGTCAAAGGAAAAGGGTAATATCTCTAACACCCAGTGTGATAATTTTTAAGATTCTCAAAAGGTGAAGTCACAACCTGGCTCTGCTGATAGTGCACTTTACACACTGGAGCTGTGCAGGGCACTCACTGGTCAAACTGTGTTGAATAAGCATTGATTTTTCATGGCTGAGATTATTAACAAAGTATTCATCATGTTTACTTGGCTGACCATTGCCCTTTCTGGCTTATTAAGTGGGATAATGGGTAACATAACCTGCTGCATCCATGTTATTGTAAATTCCTCCTTTATGGCACCTTTAAAGATGACTTTTTAAAAGCCTACTATAAACCTAATATACTGGCTGCTAATATTCCTTTCTGATCATAGATCAAAATATTTTTCTAGACAGGATAGCTGAGTTAGGAGATGAGGAAACTGCAGTATTTGGGTAGATGATTTCAGGAGACTATTACTCTGCTCAGGAAGATTATGCTATGGTGATCCTCAGTGTTTCTTTTACCTCCCATGGTTTTTAGCATTTTTATTGAAAGAAGCTATTAGAGTTATCAAATGTGAATCACTTTGTCACCTTTTCTTTTGGTATAATTAATTTTTAACTAGCATCATAGGCTAATGAATGGCATGAGGCCTATAAACTGAGGTCTTAAGCAGTGGTGGGATTCAAATAATGTAACAACCCGTTCACCCAGGATTATTTTGGCTGTCGTGAGACCAATTTGACCCTGGAAGAACCAGTTGTTAAATTTCCACCCTTTGCCAAAAGGCTGCTTCCGAGGGTGCTTGTCTGCACGTTGGCTTTGAGGCTGTTTCAGGCTTCTGGACGCAGCTCCATTAAGAGGCGATGTTTCTGAGGAACGGGGGTGGGGTACCATAGAGACAAGGAGTTGATGCTCCAGAGAGCTTGCGTAGGAGGGTGAAGAATTGGGAGGAAGTGGAGGGAGGGATTCCCCCCTCCCTGTGGAGCAGGGGATGTTGGTCAGTCTGTGAGCAAAAGTGAGAGGGGTGATGAATTAGTTGGCAGCACGAATCAAAGCTGGGCCCAATGCAGGAGAGACTGTGGGGTTAGTTTGGCCAGGCAAATTATTATCCCCACCCCAATTCCAGTGGATCCTGGGCACTGTGCTGCAATGGAAAAACGGGCAATGGAGCAGCCGGCACAAGGGAAGGAGAAGGCTGCTTTCCCTCCTCCTTCCCTCATGCCAGCCGCTCCATTGCCTGTTTCTTCATTGCAGTGCAGCGCCTATCCACTTTGATAGCGGGGATGGATGGGTAATTTAACAACCGGTTCATGTGAACCGGTGAGAACTGGCTCAATCCCACCACTGGTCAAGTCAAGATAAAGATACTGCTTTTAACTGAGTCAGCCATCCAATTAAATGGTGTCCAATCCAGCAAGCAATTAAATTCACAAAATGCCAGCATAATAACTGGTCCTTCATTTCAATGACTGACAAAAGCTTCTAATCCAAGATAATTATTTTACATATAACGTGTGATATAGACTCTCAACATCCACAGATAAATATTTATGATAGCTTAATATGCACTGCAGTAAAACTTGAAAGGACTCCAGATTTAATCATATTAGCCAAATAAAATTAAATGCAATTGAACTACTCTGAGTAGTATAACCAAGTTGGGAAATGCAGAAGTGATTTTTATACATTTTGAGTAACATATGCTTTTAACATTTTCTTCCACATGTCTTATAGGGTACAACTCTGATTGACTTGTTCAAGTTTAAAGTAATTCAAAGGAGTAGGAAGGCGGTAATATTGTGGAACTCATGCTTTGCATGTTAAGTCTCATTTTAGAATTTCCAATTTTATAAGACTGAAGTATAATTAGGTATTTTGTGTTAAAATATACTTCAAATCATCATTTTTAAATCGCATATTGAAAAGTATTGCAGTCATTAAATATTGCATTACAAAAATACAACATGACTGAACACCATATATCAAGTGATTTATAAGGAGTAATATTTGATAAAAGAAATGCATGAGTAAATAAACATTTTTCTTCTGGCAGTAAGTGATATTTCCAATTCAGCAGACAATTTGAGGACCCAAATGGTTGGGGGCAATATGCTGACTCTGTAAACCGCTTAGATAGGGCTTTAAAGCACTGTAAAGTGGTATATAAGGCTAAATGTTATTGCTATATGATATATCTCTTTTTGTCAATTTTGTCCTATTATTTTTCTCTGAAAATTTAAGATAAGCTATCCCAAACCATCTATGATCTGAGAACCAACAGGATGAATTTGTCAGGGATTGAAAAAGACAGTACAGTGTTAGCTGCCTTAAACTCTGTTAGATAGACAAGACTCCATCAGTATCTAAAAATGTGAGGTCAAGGGAGCATACCCTGGTTTACCCATTGTTTACCCATGAGCTGCAGAAGGGCTGGTTAAGGCTGCATGCAATTACTGACAACCAACCAAAATCTGTGAGATCAATTTGCTTTTTAAAGAGGAAGCACAGTAACAAATAAAAGTATAATACCGTAGTATTCCTCCAGGAGACTTAACATACCAATGTTACTTTCAAAATTCTCTTAAAATGAAATAGGGTTGAAAACTGATAGTGTCCCTTTTATGTCCCTGAGCCATAAAATGCTGTCCACCTCAGTTTGAAATATCTCATTGTAAAAAGAAAGCTTACCTAGCTATCTTATCACTGCAAGACATAGTAAGTAATCTCTCTCCCTGAAGAACTCCATCCCATGTCTGGATTGTAGTTGTAGAACGGACAGGGATTGTTCCTTCTCCAGATTCAATTTTTGTCCGTAGCTGACCTCTTGCTTTCCGGTTTGGGTGTCTATCTCCTTGATCTGAATTATGCAAGCCGCCATAGTTACAAAACAAAGCACACAAGATAAATATTAATTTTAATACAACTATAAAATATATACATATATTATATATATTATTTACTTATTACTTATTATTACTTATTTTATTTATATGGCACCTTTATTATTTTTATAAACAACTAAGGTGGCAAGCATACTTGATACTCCTTCCCCCTCCTATTTTTCCCACAACAACCATCCTGTTAGGTGAGTTGGCCTCAGAGAGAGTGACTTGTCCAAGTTCACCCGGTGAGTTTTCATGCCAGAAGGGGACTAGAACTTACGGTCTCCTGGTTTCTAGCCTGGTACCTCAACCAGGGGTGGGATTCAAATTTTTAACAACCGGTTCTATGGGCATGGCTTAGGTGGTGGGCGTGGCTTGGTGGTCATGTGACTGGGTGGACATGGCTTGATGGTCATGTTATTGGCTGGGTGTGGCCAACTCAATATCACTCACATCGAGGCACACATCTCCTCGCCTGGCCTCTCATGACTGTGGGGATGCTGCAACAGTTGTAAGTGTGAAAAATGGTCATAAGTAACTTTTTTCAGTGCCACTGTAACTTTGAATGGTCACTCCACACAAGCAAAGTACCAGCAAAGGAGTGAAAAATAACTCCAGAGAAGTTCCTGACACAGGAAGTCTAGTCCTGCCAAGAATGTAATAAGGGTTAACGGAGAGGCAGTTTCTGTAAGCACCACTAGAATGTTTCCTTCCTGCCTTCCTTACAGGATTAGGCCAGTAATTTCTTCTAACAACTGGTTCTCTGAACTGCTTAGAATGTTAACAACCGGTTCTAGCGAATAGGTGCGAATTGGTAGAATTCTACCCCTGACCTTAACCACTAAACCAATAATATTAACAATTATTTTTATTTCTTATTTCAGCCAGGAAATTTACAGAACAGAAAAATAACACAAAATATAGTGCAATTAGAAAAGTTATTGTGTGCAATAATAATTTTACCCAGCATTTTATAAACACAAATGTGATAATATTATCTAGTCTTCATTGTTAGCATTTCAAGCATTCAAATCAAAGAAACCTTAGGATTTTTTAAACTACCGATAACGTACATATTCCAAAGCAATTTACATATAGAATTAAAGCCACAATAAATAAGCTGTTGCAGGAAGAAATGGATTACACATTATTACTATTCTTTACAATTATTCTATACTGCTGTTTACAATTAAATAAATAAAATAAATTCTATACAGAAATAAATTGTGTATTTTGCATGGGTATTGAATAATTACAATGAATAATTGATTTAATTATAGATTAATTCAGAGAAATTTTTTTTTTGTATGGAAGGGCCAAAA